CACCAAAAAAACATGCAACCCTATCGGATGTTCGAAGGCTGGGGAGAGCTACTCCGGGCCGAGCGCCAGCGGCGGCCCGGATGGCGCTGGTGCCTGGGCCTAGAAGAACTTTCTGGCCTTTGGCTAGCTGGGAATGATGGAAGGAACAGAAAATGGAAACTACTATAACCAGTGGGTCCAAATATGTGGGTTTTATAGGGGTTATATGAGGATGATGGAAAAGAAATTGGAAACTACTATTTAGGATTTAGGGCAATTTAGGGTCTAGGAGGAATGGAAAAGAGAATGGAAACTACTATAATGGGTTATATAGGGACTACTATAAGGATCCATTCCTTCATTCTTAGCCCACCAAAGGTAAGAAACTCGGGGTCCCTCATTTTCCTATCTTCTTAGAAATTATTTCCAATTGGTTCTTGTAGTATACTCTCAAGGACCTACTTGGAATCATATGGCTGTTATGGATCTATCTAGGGGGATTGCTGTACTGGGGGGCAAATATACTAAGCATTATTTCATACTGTATTGGGGTCTGTATTGGGGGCCCTGGGTGCCCATGCATGGAAGCCTTTATAATTTTTGATGCGGCTACTCTGGACCATTGTTGAACGTAGTTTCTTGACATCTGTTGTTATAATAACTTCTGTCCTTCTAGCGCCCCGATAAGCGCTGTAAAGTAATAACTGGATTAACACCCATGCTTTGCGTTTGTTCAAAGCTATGTAGCAGCCGCAAAAATTCTCAATAATGCTTTCCGACAAGCTATAGTGCAATGTACCCCCACACCCTATCCCAATAGTGTACAAGCTACAGGCCCAACGAATTATCGAGAACTGTTATGTAGATTTCCTGAGTTCCTCATTTTCCTCAATTTTCTCAAATGTTCCTCAGTTTTCTCTCCGTTCACAAAACATGTCCGCAAATAAATCGTTAATTTTTTCAAATACATTATTTCACTGATTCCCGTTTTTACACGCCAACGCCGGTCTCAACGATAACATTCCCTGGTAAGTTTTGATTCGCGCAAAATACCCCTCAACCCTATTCTAAGAAGCAGCCCAGACCCCCTAAAGGATCCTAATAATCGCGTAGTTTCCCCAACGTAGTCATCCGTTCATATTGCGTTCATATTGGGGGGGGTCCTGTTTTTCGGATCCTTTATTGGGTCTGGGAAGCAGCTAAATCCTTTATTGGGTCTGGGAAGCAGCTATATACAGCTTTCTTGCACAGAGGCACCACCTCCGCGCACCACAGCTTCCCCAGCCTTGCTTCAGAGGCCTAAAACCTGAGTAGCTGTTTGGGTTTAGGGCTGAGGGTTTATAGGGTCTAGGGTTTGCTTCAGAGGCCTGTATGTTGGGGCTTCTTGGGTGAGGTTCTCAAAATGAGGAACTATAAGGGCTCAGGGAATGAAAGGATGGAAAAGAGGGATTTATAGGCGCTACGTACTATGAGGATGCATGAACTCCATTTGCCAAGAACAGCCGGCAAGAGTAGGGTGTTCTTACGGATCCCAGGAATATGTATAGGGATCACAATTACACAGGAGTGTTATAGGAGTCCGTCTCCGAGAGTATGGTGTCAGGACCGAATACTGCGGCGTCTCAATGTCTTTTGGTGCCTACAGTAAAACCTGAGTAGGGTTTAGGGTGCTCGGACTTAAGCATGACTGCTACTGCTAATCTTACCAATACCTTGAGAATAAGCGTTTGTTGAGTTGTGGCATCCTGATGTCAGGCTGAGCCCTGGTTTAGAGTGTCTCAGGCCGACTAGGATCTGCTAGCAGTTTTGTGCGGTGCCTCAAGCTAGACACCATGTAAGCCAGCACTTTGGAGACTTGCGCCCAGACGCTCAAAATCCAAATCCCTGAGTAATCTAAACCATCAAGACCAAATGTAAACCCCAAAACCTGAACCATACAAAAGACGTTCCTAACCGTTCGGTGATCAACAGGGCAGCGGATGCCTGCCTGGGGCGACTTCCTCTCTGTGGCTTGTTACAGTTACATGGGGATTTCCCAAAATTAGGGGTACCATTTTTAGGGTCCCTATAATAAGGATCATAATACTTTGGAGTCTATATTGGGGTCCCCCTATTTTGGGAAACTCCCACATCCTCTGCAGCTCCAGGGTGGTTTCTGACATCGGGGCCCCCAGGGACCTGAAGGATAGAAGGGAAGTGTTGGGGGGTTCTGACATGCCCGCATGCTTCTTGTGCGATTGTCCAAAGTTGCTGCAGCTATTCCTCGGTCACCCATAGTTCCAGTAGAGGCCTGTGTCGGCATGAGCTTCTGTCAATATGAGGCTTAAGGGACCCTTGATACTGTTGATGGAGGAAATCTAGCACCACCTTACGTCCCTAGTGTCCTAGGAATTACAGTAGTTTAAGGCCCCTAGGTGGTGCAAGATTTCATCCATCAACAGTAGTGGACGTTGGGGTCCCTCTTGCAGTCTAGTATAGTCCCAAATATACTCCATCATATGGAACCTACGTCCATTAATTCTCTGGGTATTATGCATCCCTATAACCACCTGTGATTCTCCATTATTGGACATGATATCCCTAAACCTTAAACCTTTAACCCCTCTTGAAAGGGACCTAGGGTTTCCATTTCATTTTCCATGTCTCCATCGGGGTTATGAGACTGTAGCTCACATGCACCCTGGCCTCTTTCTCTACAAATTTATCAGTAGATGGATTCCTCGGGTTGGTGCCTTCCATCTCTATGTGAGCCATCAGCTAAACTCCTTAAACAGGATTATATAGGGGATTCATACCGGGGATACTAGGAGAGGGGAGTTATATAGGTGAATATATAGGGCACTACTATAGGGGCTATTCAGGGGGATACTAAGAGAGAGACGTTATATAGGGGATTATACTAAAGGGGTTAGCAAGGGGGATAATTCGAGTTGAGACTATAGCTCATGTGTGCTTGCAACAGCTTCAGCCAAGAGTTTCTTGGAAGCCATGCAGGCAAGTTCACTAAAGTCTCCGCTCCTACAATCGGCCAAGGTAAGTCGCATTGATGTCGGGTCTGAGGACCATGATTGCCAGAGCCTCAAATGAGCCATAGTGTAAACTCCTTTAAGGGGGGGTATTTAGGGGATTATATAGGGGACTACTATAGGGCTTATTAAGGGGGATACTAGGAGTTTAGACTATAGCTCAAATGATGTTGCAGTCGTGCTTGCACGTCTCTGCGTTCTTCTTGAAATGCCCAGCTCTGGACTGCCACGGCCTCTACGCTGCCACGTCCAGGGCGGTGGCCGACGAATTAGCAACGCGGCCGGTTGGTACATGGGGGTTCACTGATTGCATGCTTACATCGTGAGGATTGAGGGGCTCACCTCTCTGGGGATTGTGAGGATCTACGTCCATAAAATCGGGCAGGAAATATTGACTGCAGCACATATGGGTCATAGGGTTTATTAACCTACTTGCTGAGTCCCCTGACCCTCCGACTATTGGGCATTCTTCGGGTCATTGTTCGTATTCGCGTGCTATCATAGGAATTGTATTTTCAGAGTATTGCAGGAGCATGTACAAAGCTACTCTCCCTCCCATCCCGGGGCAAGAGCAAACAGATGATTTCTGCGGCCTCGGTCGCGACATGTATATTTTGTTCCCAGCACTGGATACCCTGATACCCTAAACCCTAAACCCTGCTTAGAGTGGGCACTGTCCTGTGGAGCGCCCCTGCTTGTAGGTAGGCTGCAAGTACAGTTCCTCATCAAACTAGGATGTCAACCCATGTAGGTCCATTTTGCGGAAGACCGTGGTCTTTGTAGGGCCTCTTTCATCTTAGTCCGGGTACCTTTTTGGGGTTGGGGCTTATAGGTGTTTCCCAAAATCAGGGGTACATTTGGGGGGGTCCTTACAATAAGGGCTATAGTATTTTTTGGGTCTATATTGGGTCCACGTATTTTTGGAAACTACCCTGAACTCTAAACCGGGTTTATAGGGTTTAGGGCAGTGGCTCCTGGCAACTCGATATGGACGATACGCCAAGGACACGCTGAGTGGCCAGCATGGCTTGGTGCTTGGACCAAGAGTTCGGTGGGTTCTTTGAATAGGGGGTCCTTGGGGACTTTAGGAATTTATGATGAGGTTTACCAAAGTTACAAAGGGGATTGTATTGCGAGAAATTTGGGGGATACTAGGAGTTTAGACTATGATTCATACTTTGGGGTTGCCAATGGATTTTCAGAAGGTCGTACCTATCGAGGGTTACTTTTGAGAGCCTCCTGTTGTGTTCAGGAAATCAATTTGTCGTCGTCCTGGAAGGCCGACTAAGTGACTAAACTTATTGGTAACACTTAAGCTCCTTCGTTCTGGATTATCTACGTTGATACATCTCAGCTTCACGTCCTTGCAAGCTATCCCCACCACTCTGAGCAGAACCAAGTTTGACAGGTGCGAGCGCTCCTAATGATGTTTTGGGTTCCAGAGCACAAAAGAGTCTCACTGGGAATGAGGTGTTGAAAAAGGCCCAGCCGTTCGGCCTCTGACATAATTTGAAGTTGTAAGCTTGCCAAGGTTGTCGGGTAGAAGCACTCCTGCCTAAACTTCGGCAAAAGGCTCGCTATTCAGACTGGATAAGGCATACATATCAGACGCTCCTAAGCTCCAGCAGCACTAAATAATTTGAGACACCGCACATCAAGCCTTCATTCTTGACCTGATCGAATTTCAACCCTATTCAATCTTTTGGAAATCCGCAGCGCAGGCCCATGCAGGCCCTGAACCCACCCCAAAAAAATTCTTGACGCCAGGGATCCAAATAGCCAAAAGTACAAGTAGTCCATTCTTTATGGACCTCAGGGCCCAACGTAGGTATCTTCTGTGGTTTCCCAATCCTTAAACCCTAAACCCTCATCCCTAGACCCTAAACCCTAATCCCAGCCCCTAAACCCTAAACGCATATCACTAAACCCTCATCCCTAATCCCTAGACCTTGATCCCTAAACCCTAAACCCTGATCCCTAAAGCGTTGGACAGAGGCTCCCAGCCAATTGATCGTCGGAGGGTATTCTCAGGCCACACCCTGGGATCTAAGTCTCTGAACTACATGGGTTCAGGGATCAGGGTTCGGGATCAAGGTTTAGGGTTTAGGGATCAGGGTTTAGAGTTCAGGGATCAGGGTTTGGAGTTCAGGGATCAAGGTTTAGGGTTTAGGGATCAGGGTTTAGGGTTTAGAGTTCAGGGATCAGGGTTCGGGATCAAGGTTTAGGGTTTAGGGATCAGGGTTTACGTTTAGAGTTTAGGGATCAGGGCTTAGGAATTAGGGTTTAGGGATGTACCGTGAGAGCCTTATTGAGGATGCCTATTTTTAGGTGGAAAACTCATTAAAGTGGCTTCCACATTCAACCCGAAGCCTCAAGCCCTTAGATCTAGGGTTGTCTTGGGATGTCTTGGGGTCGTTTTGGAAAGTCAGGTGGCGGCAGCAGGAGGTGAGCCAGGAATGATCTTCGTCAGAAAGTTTTGTAGATTGTAGAGATGGTGGAGGCCTGTTCAGCTGGAACTCCAGATCAATCCTTGAGAGGGAGGAATTTCCTGGACTTTAGGTCGCGGTATTCGGCTAGCTTTTGTGATACGGTTGGTGCACAGAACTTTGGATGTTTGGTGTCTCTCTCGTCTTTTCCAAGTGGAACCCCGAGGCCCTCAAACCGTAAATAGGGCGTCAAATTAGAGATGGATCGGACCCACTGTCGGCTGCTGTTGCTCGCTTTGGCGCTTCTTACTGCTACCGCTACTGCCTCCGCAACTTGTCCCCGACCATCGCCGTACTGCTACCACTACCATGGCAGTGGGGATATGACACCAATCACGCTCACATGCACCTCCCTGACTTGCAAGGGTGCAGCTAGCGCACTGCAGAGCGTGACTCATCTTAATGGGATTTGTGGTTGTTGTGATGCCAGGATGCTGTTAGGGAGTTTGTGTGGCACAAGGATGTGATAAAGTTTTCAGGCGACTTCGGGGGTGCGTGTTTTAAAAAATGCCAATACCCCATTTCGTAGTAAGTCGTACGCTGGGCCGTGCCCAATATGCATGACATTTGCCACTCACACCTTCAAAGTCTACAGCAAAAAAGCCTTCCCCGTATTCATCCGTAAACTCCTAAACCCTAAACCCGGTATTCCAAATCCTTGCCCAAAACACCGGGACACCACGAGATTCGGGCGCACCAGGTGCTAGTCTTGAGGTCTGGTGAGCTACAGGAAGCCCTAGGGATCCGAATAGCCAGGCAGATGGAAAATGGCATGGAAGCTAGCAGCTAGCAGCAGTTTACAAGGATGTACATGATCCAAATAGCCCAACGTAGGTCATATTTGCGAGACTTTAGGGCCCAACATAGGTATTATTCGTGTACTTGGAACCCTAGGGTAAGCCTTAACTGCTGTATTCCATCTGCCCTATGGACGTATGGGCCGTAAAGCATTTCATGGCTCCTTTGTCCCAAAAGCTGTGACAAAATGGTAGTTTCCATTTCTTTTCCATGTCCCCTATATGGCCCTATAAAACGAGATGTATACCCCACACAGCCCTTTATAACCATATATGAGACTAACAATTCATCTCCCAGACTTTTTCGAACCGGTGTAGATTTTACATGGGGATGTCCTGAGACGATGCTTCTCCCGATGGATCCAAAAAGCCCAATGTAGGGGCCCAACGGAAGTGTCAATATTCCGGACTTTACACTACCAGCATTTTGTGTGTGGTACAGTGTAGAGGGAGCAATACCGGTAGCCAAGTCTTTGAAAATGCTAAATCCTAAACCCCAAATCCTAAACCCTAATCCCTAAGCCCTAAACCCGTTTGTCAAGGTTTTGGAATACCCAGAACGCCTGGCGGGCTGCATCGCACTTTCAGGCGCCTTGCACTGTGTGCTTGGATGGGCTGATACTTTGCAAGTCATTGGCTATAGTGGATGACAAAACCTGCACCATCCTATATACTGCCAATAACACTAGCTGCAGTAGTTTACTCAAGGCCCATCCTGGTACCCAATAATCCTGTAACCCTGGTCGAAGACTTGGTTCTTGCAGGCCTTGCATCGGGGCTATTTGAGTAGTAGTTTATTTGGGGGAATTATGGTACCCAATATACGATAAGATTCGATCTTCTTTTTGGGGTATGGTATTATTACTCATCTTGTCCAGATTAACAAAACGGGCTGCGGGGAACTTCTAAATCGAACGGTTGTCTATAGCATTGGGCGTGTCGCCCCACCTGCGCTGCAGATTGAACCCTGATGTCTCCACATTTTTCGTTTGTTTTCAGTGGTCTTCCCAATGACCCGTGTTTGGCAGGTTGGGTGCTGCCACGTGCACACGATGCCCTTCGCGTGGGCGCTGTAAATTGCGGTGCTCGGCGGCTCGGAGTAATTCAATTCCCAAGGTGGATCCCTGTACTTCCCTTTTCGTAGTATTTTGAAAGGGAGCAGGGCTTATAGGGTGTACTTCAGAAAGGAATGGGAGAATGGACTACTAGAAGGATCCACTCCATCATTACCTACTAAGGACCCACGAGTCTTGAGTCCCAGGTCCTGGCTTCCTGGTTCTGGAACGTTTACATGGGATCCTTACTGTGGGCCTCTGTAGGTTATTGGGGTTAACATGGGGAGTACCTGGTTAAATAGGGGGTAGATATAAGGACGAAACACGGATTATACACGGTTTTGGGTTTGGGTCCCTTGCAGGGGTCTTTCCTAAGAGCCCTTGATTATGAACTCCCAAAGGCAAAAGGTGTATGCTTGAAATTCCCCAGGGTTTCAAGGGTTTAGGGGTTTAGGGTTTAGGGTTTGTTCGGGTTCTCTTCCTAGGGTTCTACGTTTCAGGCTTTCATGCGAGGGTCTATGAAGGGCTTCCATGAGTCAATCCTCCCAGTATTGGCCTTGGGATGACTAATCTTTTCCATGAGTTCAAAGTTCGGCGCCTGAAACTCACAGGGAAAGAAGGTCTCACACCCACACTCCTGAATCCCTAAACTCTACTTGGAAGGCAGGGGGATCTAGTAAGTAGGTTCATAACCCCTATAACACAGATAGTAACCCTAATTATTCATATTTTCAACCTACTTACTAAGCCCCCCTGACCCCCCAGTAAACCCCAGGTATTACTTGTATCATGGCAGACGAGATGTTCAGGCCAGGTTGGGCAGGGAGGAAATGTGTTTAGGGGTTCAGGGTTTGGGCTTGTTACATGTTGGGAGTATTTGACCTTAGGGGTGGTCCAAGGGGGGTAATATTAGGGTGAGGGGATCAGGGTTTCAGAGTTTTGGGTCTAGGGTGTAGGGAAGTAGTTGCCACTGAAGCAATAAACATTTGCTTAGTTTGCATTCGCCTTTCGCAGGGGATGCATTGAAACTAACCCAAGGTCTGGTCACTATAATGGGTTCTACTGGGATTATAGGATACATCTTGGGGTTATATGGGAATAATGGAAAAGAAAATGGAAACTACTGTAATGGAGTCTGGCTCTGGCAGCCCCCACTTTGAGGTTCATGCGTACTTATCGCTGGGGTTCTCACTTCTAAACTAATAGTCACATCTGGTTACAGCCTTTGTCTGGGACTTACAGTAACAAGTCTACTTGCATTTACCCATGAATCAGCACAAAACTATCTGTTCTTGGTGCTGCGACTCTTGCATGACGAGGCGAGGATTCACTCATAAACTGCTGCAATCTGGGGCATAGCGATCACCCTGACAGGAAACTTACTGGTGCTGAGTGGGGAATAAGGGAATAGAATCCCTATATAACCGGTAAAGTTCTGATATCAGTCCCTACAGAATTCCCATGAAATCCCCATACAATCCCTATATAAAGTTTTCCCTTATTTCCTATCATCCCCCAGCCAGGAAATGCCACAAACGTAGGGCACCCGAACCTTCAGTAGCCACCGGTGCCAGCTCAGCGGCCTCCGACCAAAAAAGCTCTTTTTCTCTTGCTATGCACATTGATCCCAATATGGTTTAGGGATTTCGGGTTTAGGGGTTAGGGGTTTAGGGTTTAGGGATCCATTGTTAGGATTTGTCATGTGTATCATTATGTTGGTCTCATGCATCAGCTTACCATGTTCTTCTTTGTGCTAACTTCAAGTGACTATTTCTGGAGTTGCCCTCCTTGGCAGGTCAGCCTGAATTGCAGCAAGCACGCCAGACAGCTTCTGTCCGAGGCAGTCCTGTTGCATTTTGAGGGTTGTCAAACAGATTTCTGCACTTGTTGCGGCAAAGGGGGAACTATAATGGGTTCTATTGAGATTCTTGGGTATATATTGAGGTTACATTGGGATAATGGAAAAGGAAATGCAAACGACTATAATGGGTTCTAGTGGGATTATCGGGTATATATTGAGGTTATATTGGGATAATGGAAAAGGAAATTCAAACGACTATAATGGGTTCTAGTGGGATTATCGGGTATATATTGAGGTTATATTGGGATAATGGAAAAGAAAATGGAAACGACTATAATGGGCTCTATTGGGATTATTAGGTATATCTTGGGCTTATATATTTGCACAATGGAAAAGAAAATGGAAACTACTATAATGGGTTCTATTTGGATTATAGAGGGCTTTGTCTTGGCACGTGACCGGCAGCCAGCAATTTCTCAGGTTGCAACATGATTGACTGCTCAGAGCAAGAGCCAGACTGAAGCCTAGGACATTTATGCACAAAGGACTATACTCCCCCCTTAAGTAGACAGAATATGGCTTGGGGTAAATCATAAGAAGATCCCCATATACCCCGTATTCTACCCACTTAAGGGGGACTATACATGCTATCAATGCGATTGATGGTATTGTTGGCATGTTTGCGCGCTCTTGCTTTACTTTAGTCCTCGGAGCCTTCCAGGTAGATGTCCTTGAGCCTTGGCCCCCAGCACTCAATCCGCGCCAAGAATCTGTATCTGAGGTTCCGGGACCGCCCCAAACCTGACTGCTGCCACAAATCAGACTCTTGATATCCAGGGTTACAGTTGATTGCCTCAACTCCGTGCGCAATTGTCTTTAGTGGGGCACCCTTTACTAGTAGAAGGCACTGATTTCGGCACCTCCTACTACTTCTATCATCTTCTATCTCTACCCCTTCTTTTCTTGTGCTACTACTACTGCTACAGCTACTGCTTCTGCTATTACCGGTACTTTAAATAATACCCTGCGCTAAGTCGAATACTTCAACCCTACAAAGGCAGGTGCCCAAGTGGACTTTGTGGCGGGCTCCGCTGGGCATGCGCCAAGTCACGCGGCTTCTCTTGGCCAGGCTGCAAAAGCCTAGGGGTTTCTCAAGATGGGTGGGGACTGCTTGCAAGTAATGAGTCTATGCATGTATGCATGCATGCTTACATACATGTATGTATGCAACTGCATGCTGAGTTTGGCAGGTGAATGCCTGTGTGGTTTTACGGAGCACGTCAGGGCTTTAGCACATCCCAATCTCAAGCGTGCTGGTTCCCCAACAGTCCGCAGATCCCTGGCATCACGCCAGTCTAGCCATCGTGTGATGCGCGGCCTTCATGGACGCAGTTAGGCCCTGTTGGGATAATTCGTATTGAATTTTGTTTAGCTCTGCAGGAATGCGTGCCAGATGCTTTGGGGGCTTGAACATAAGATGTGTCGCTTCATGCTGTGTTCCAAGAGTAGGTGTCCTGCGTACAATATATTCTTCCAGAGGCAAGATCTTCAATCATGGGCAAATTTTCTTGCTTCCTTATCAATTTTCTGCTGATCCAGATCTTGAAATCTTTTGATCCCTTAACGAAGGTTTTGGGAAACTCCCAGATGATAGTTTCCCAAAATAGGGTAGAGGCCCCAAAATAGATCAAAATACTATAGTCCTTATTTTAGTGACCCCCCAAAAAGGTGCCCCTAATTTTGGGAAGCGCTCATCCCTATAATCTCCTATGTAAACACAGTTTCCATTTAATTATCCATTTTCTTTTCCATTTGATTCTCCATTATAGGGGGTAATATCCCTAAACCCTAATCCTTAAACCCTAAACCCTATATAATCCCCTTTGCTATAGTAGTTCCCCATATAATCCCCCATATGACCCTATACAGGTAGCAGGTACTCCATAATTTTGGGAAGCCTCCTCAGATGAGGCCCCGAGATGATCCAGGCAGTATCATCCTTCTTTGAGGACGCCTCCCACAGGCAAATGAAACTTGGGCAGGCTGCTTCGGGTTGGGGTTGAAAGGTCTAGGGATTAGGGTTTAAGGGTTTGGGGTTTGGGGCTTAGGGTTTGAGGTTTAGGGTTTGGGGTTTCGGGTTTAGGGTTTAAGGTTTAAGGTTGAGGGTTCAGGGTGTACAGAATAAGCTTGAGACAGTCCATCAAAAGGGCCCCAATGATTTCATGATTTCTTCAGATTCTCCATAAATCTGAGAATCTGAGAAATCCTCACGTTGGACGCGCGGGCGATTCAAGAATAGTCGAAATCGGGTAGCAGCACGGGTAATCATGGAAGGAATACCTGTACCCCACAATTACCTACAGTTTTATGGGTAATATCTACCAATTAATGAGCAATTGCTACTAACAGTAGGTACCTGCCTTGTCTTGAACAAGTACAGGGGGATTCATCTTGTTGCAGAACATGATAGCAACATATAGTTCCCCGTAACTAGATAGAATATGGCTTTGGGATGCTTTGCAAAATCATTGGGTTTAGGGTTTAGGGTTTAGGGTATATTCTAATAAGATCCCCGCATACCCCATATTCTATCTACTCAAGGGGGCCTATACACCTCCAATGGAGTTTGGAGAGAATCTCATTGAGATGCTACGACGTCTTGTGCATGTTTCGCAGCTAAATTACCCAAGGGCTCCTATGCAGTTCCTTTTGGGGTTTGTTATGTTTTTGTTTGGTAAAGGGTTGTAATATACTAAATACCCAAAAAGGAGCTACATTGGAGGTTCTGGGTAAATTCTGTGCTGATTATCGTGGTCGACCTCAACCCAAACGTGAGACATATCAGCAGATATTTTGGTCAATGAACTTGTCTGCTTCAGTCAGAAAACTTGCGGCTGAGTTGCTCCCTGTCGAGGCTTGCCGGCAACCCGCTGCCGCGTACAGCCCCTGAGTACCGAAAACAAGACGTGGAGCCTTCGCGCTTGGAAGTACATTAACATGATATGGTAGTTTCCCAAAATAGGAGGGCCCCACCATACACCCAGCATATTATAACCCTGATTATAGGGACACCAAAAAATTCCCATAATTTTGATCAAGCTCCGTGTATTCTGATGTGTTTGCCATGTGTGTAGAAGCCTGAATATTCTACGGTTTCATTCTTGGGTAGTTCTTATACGGTTCAAATGTACAACATTATACACGCACACTCTATTGGAATGATGTTAGGCACCTACGGTAGTGCGGTTGAAGCGAGCGCGCTGCTTGCACGAGAGCCATTTAGCCTACTAGCCCAAGAAGCACAATGACAATGCCTCTCCGCCAGGATGCAGCCTCAAAAGCCCGTTTACAAAGACTTCAAGGGTCTGGCAGAGAAGTCACCAAGAGCGGGAAAAGACCTCAAACATTGAAGTCCCTAGAGTCTACGAGGGGTGGGGTTCAAGGACTTTCAACGTTTTATGCTAAAGCTTGGGAGGCGCCGTACTGGGTCTGCAGTGGATATGCCCTGCGGCCGCATTGCATGAGCAAAATCCTGAGGAGCACGTGATGCAACGTCTGAGTATAATTGGGCGTAAGTTAGACTTGTTGAATCCTGATACATCCTAGGTAGGGTAATGTCAAGTTACAACCAGGAAATACCTACGATGCTGAAAGCAACTTACAGTGGCAAAGAGCTAGACGGATACTCTGCGGTGCGAGAGCAACAAAATGAAATGTCTGATATAGGTGGACCCCAAAAAAGACCCATATATTCCAGTCCCGACTAAATATAATGATGCCAAGAGGGTACCTAATTTGTGGTCCCCCGATCAAAGTTAGATCCAAGAATGGCTTCGATGCTTGTCCCGCAATGCCTGGTGCGGCAGCACGCTTCCGCGAGCTCTTCGAGACATGGGGAGGCAGGGGCTGGGATGTACTGTGTCTATGTGGATAGTTCCCAAAGTTTGGGTCCCATTTTTGTAGCCCTACAGGTGCCGTAATTCGATAATAACATAGACCCAAAAGGGGCCCAGAATTTTGAGAACAACCCATGCCATACCGGTTTAGGGTGTGGGGTTTAGGGCTTAGCTCCCAAGGTTTTACAGTACATTGCGATTATTGTCTGCAAGGCCATGTATGAACCCACAAATGCGAAAAAGAGGGTGCATTCCATGAATGGCGAGCCCAAGATAGAACCTTTAGTCCTTACTAGGGGGGGACTCGAAAATAGGGATCCCCAAATTTTGGAAACCATATAATTATGGACTCTGGGTTTGGGATGGTGGGGATTACAAGAGTTCGTGGAGGTTTGAGGTGCCAAACTCTTCCCAGATAATTTTGATGGAAGTTAAGAAAATTGCGCAACCTAACCAGTCAACATGGGGATTTCCCAAAATCAGGGGTACCTTTTTGGGGGTCCCCATAACAAGGATTGTAGTATTTGGGGGTCTATATTGGGATTCCCTTCGCCTGACTTTCAGCAGTTTGCGTGTTGGAGCTTTGAGTGCAACGGCAGGTCCCAGGGCCAAGGCCACCCCAACGAAAGGCTGTTTCCTTCAAATCTTCCACGCCTGCATGCAGCTCAAGCTATTTGCCAGTTTCTCGAGAGGTCCCTTAGCGCTGCAGGACCTGTGAACAGAACATGCCGGCTTTGAATCATGGATGAGCCTTCAAACCTCAAGACCTTAAAGATCCTGAAGCCCGCCAGCATGAAGCTCCAGACGCTTGCAAACCCTCAGCACATTTAAGTTGATGCCCGGGATGCAGCGCATCAGACTGCCTAGACCCTCCTCCTACCCTCTATTAGGGCCTAAGTACCCACTATTAGGGACCAAATATCCCCAATTCAGGGTACAAGGAGGGTCCTGGTGTGTACTTGCAAGGCATCCTTCTTAGTAATCGTCAGGCTCATCTGGTTAGGCCCCTGGGATATCTACTATTTTTCCTAATGGCTTTACTAAGGGACCCTATATACTAATATTTTCCAAAGGGTTTTAGGGGCCAACCAAGTCATAGTTGTATTTGTGGCTCTGGCTTTTGCCCCATTGCAGGTTGCCAGAGCATTTCAGCCCTCCGGCCCAACAAAGCTGAGGGCTCAGAGGCAGAGGATTGGGGTCCACTGTGGGGCCCATTTGAGCATTATGATACTAAAAGCAGTAAAAGGATAGCAAAGCAGAGCTTCTTGGAGATAATATCTTAGGGTTGAAAAGACCCCGTAAAGGAGGCCCCCCCAAACACAAACACCTCCCAAGAGGCTCCAGCTGACCCCTCTTGCCCGCAACAGTCTTCATCTCAAGCTCAGCAAGCGGCCTAAACGTTAACCGAAATCATAGTAATAATGGAAAATTAACTGGGAAAATGGACCACTAAATTGCAAACTGGGTCCAGGTAGGTGTTTAGTCCTAGATCCCTTGTATACGTATAGCACAGGCCTTATAGATTCATCACTTGAGCGTGAGCTTGGGGGTTAGCATGATGTTGGCTCTGAAAGAAAGGTGCCATCCTAAACCCTCAACCACAGCAATCTCTAAGGCTGCAAGAGCCCAAATATGAGGGTTTGAGGTCCCAAATGCTATTCTGCTTATAGCATTTGGGCTTTGAGAACCCCCCCTATTCGAGTCCTTGAACTCTTAGCCTTCGGGAAGGAGACTATCCATGTGCCTCGCAGATATCCGCCCGCGATGACACAGGGTTTAGGGTTTAGGGTTTAGGGTTTAGGGTTAGGGTGATGTTTGATGCGGCATCCCCTTTGAGCTGTACCTGCCTTCAGAACATTGCAGCTGCTAAATTGCTTACAATCATTGTTTAGCCCCATGCTCTCCTGCCGTTGATACTAAAAATCCTGCATGACCTTAATATACTTTAGTAATCTTCAGTACTCCCAATGTATACTGTACTTAGGGTCATGCAGGATTTTTGGTATCCACCGCAAGTTTCAGAAATTCCAAGCCCTTGGGCACTGTGCACCTTCGTGCCGGCCTTTTCCTATGCGCTTCCAGGCCCCTGCAAGCGCTTCACGGGATGACCCTCGTGTACTTTGAATCCTTCACTTAGGACCTATAAGGACTTGTAGTCCCCCGTAAGTAGATAGAATACGGGGTATATGGGGATGTTGGTAAACTATACCCAGAGCCATATTCTATCTACTGAAGGGGGACTATATTGACTTAAGAGTTGGGCATTGAATTCGAGGTAGTCCCCCCTTAGGCACCGGATCAAAGTTTGTTCGAGGTGAAACAGGAGCATACATACTTCCCCACCGTCCACACGCACAACCAGAACTCGTGAGCCAGGCCTTCAAACGTGAAGTTCCTTCTTGATCGTGGTGATGACACTGAGCACAAACATGATGTTGATCATTGGTTGACGCATGGTTTGGCTGGACAAAAGGGCAGAGGACAACATCATCTTCAGGAACAAGCCTTTAACCTTAAATCATGAATGCCAAGCCGCTACGCCCCTCAAGCCTTAAACTCTTCGCCCTAAACCCTTAAACCTGCCATTTCAAAAAAAAAACGTACCTTAACGCCCTAAACCCAAACTCGCAACATCGAAGCCTTAAGTAGTTAAAACCCGAGAGCAGGGCTCCCTCAACCCTAAACCCTAAACCCCTAAAACCCTAAAACCCTAAACCCTAAACCCCTAAAACCCTAAAACCCTAAAACCCGAGAGCAGGGCTCCTTTGGCGCCTGCGCTCTTCGCTGCGGCGGGCTGCTTGGCATGTCGGCGGCCCTCAGCGCGACGAGCCTCTGCAAGTATGTGGGTTTGGGGGTGTGTTGAGGCTTGAGGCGGCTTAGGGCATGCAGTTCACCCACCCTGTTAACTGGGTTGGCCTTTGGGATACTTAAAAATTTTCCCTAATTGGTTTTATAAGGACCCTATATACTAACATTTTTCAAATGGTTCCAAAGGCCAACCAAGTTCAAGTTTAAGGCACAGAGTTCAGGGCTTCAGGGCTTAGGGTTCAGGGCTATTTGGGCTTTGCGGATTCGGGTGGCTGTCGTCAACCTGCTGGTGTCTTGCTGAGATAGTCACGTGTAGGGCTTTCAAGAGTCGACCAGAAGCCTCAAGCCACTACTAATTCGACAAAGCCATTGTACTTTTTGGAGGTTTTGCATGACTTCCGTAAGGCCCGGATATGTCGCACCCCTCAACCGCTCAAGTAAATCCTCACGTCTTTCAGCTTGAACCCCTCAGCCTGAACTAGGTACACCAGTACCCTTTTTGTCCTTTTTATTTGGGGTTTCCTTATGAAAGCTGAATATTTCGAACAACGGTGCCCTTATTATTAGGGGGTTACTGGGGAACCTAGTGAAGCTCCCAAACCCCAGAGTTAAACTTCCTGACCTTGACTTTCGACCGCAACGCCTTGCCTGTCCTCGAGAGAAGGTAAAACAGTGGCTCGAAAGCTCATAAAAGAGCCAAAAAGCGTTCATTCTACATGCGTATGGGGTTCAGGTAAACCCCAAGCCGCAAACACCATATACCCAAACACTTACTAAATCCTAAGTTCCAAAAGCCTCCGCGCTCCCTGAAGTACCCCCTATGTATCTGTGTATCTGTGTATATATATATACACAAAATGTAAGTATAAGGCAGTCGCCATTAGGTTTCATGTGACCTCGTGCTTTTCCTTATGCTGCAGCAGCAAGATGTGGCACATCAAGTTGGCGTCGCTTGCCCAAGCTAAGTCGTCCAAAGTAAATGAACGTCATTAGTCTCCTTTCTTTTGCATATGTCGGCGCTCCGAAAGCTTCGAGCTACCGACCCTTCATCTGAAGCTCTACTAGTTAAGAGGAGATCTTGCAGAGACGCGGAGGCCCCCAACAGCTGATTTTCCTTGGCCAGGCTAGTTGAGTAATTTCTTTTTGTTTCAGCAAAAACTCATTTTTAAGTCATGGCCGCCTCTGCAACACCCTCTGGACTGCAAGAAAAGACATTGCAATCTGCAGTGGAGATAGTAGAATCCCGATGATAGCAGGAACCGTTCACATGGTACAGAGACATCCGTCTTACAGATACATTTTCATATATACATGGTTATGTGTATATACATCCTGCAATGATTAGACCTCCATTCGAAAGGAGCTGCTGCAACTGCCAGCCTGGACCAAGAAGCGCAGCGCAACTTGGCTGCTTGGAGGGGTTGCTCGCGTTTGGAGTTTCATTGTTTTGGGGCTTGGGGTTTAGTGTTTAGGGCTTGTGTTTGGAGTAGAACCCTTGTGTAATCCCGGTGCCATCATATCCTACCTTGTGTACTTGAAGCTTCAACACTAGTATAAAGAGTTTTGGGGTCTGAGCAGGGTAGAATTCTGGGTGGTTTTACATATCTTTTGGGTACGGCACCCCACCCAGCAACATGACAGATCATATCTTCCCATGGCATGGAAATATTCACATCACTACAGACTGTTCAAAAGGTGGGGGGGCGGTGCTTAACTTATCCTATTTAAGACCCCAGCTATGGTTGACCTTGGAGCCCCATTAACGGAGGCAGGCATTGATGTGTCAGGGGTTTGGCAGAAGGCTCTGTAGTGCAAGAACTCGGGGAAGTGTAGATGACATGTACATGGCGGGCACGCGAACGTTCAGGGTTGAGAAATGTTGGAACGCCTTCAGCAAAGAAAGGTCGGATTCAAGTTCTGTGTCTTCTTGGGTAAAGTTTCTTTGGTTTCATAGCCTGCATAATTTTGTCGTGAGATTTATGGGGCATGTGCCTCCCTGTGTCAATGCATCAAGGGTCTGTAGGCTCCAGGAATTCTAGGTCTCCAGAAATTAATGCCCGTACGTGCCAGGATGTGACAGCGCTCATGTTGCGTTTCAAGCTTTGAGTTTAGCTTTGGGCTGCATGCCAAGAGCAGCGTGCCTAGCTAAACGAATTTGCGCACACCATGTTGAAAAGTTGTGCAAATCTTCGAAGAGCTTCAAGATGCATAAACGCTCACAGGGCCTCCTGAATGACTTTTTCAACGCGAGAAACACATGTCAACGGTCTACATGCTGCTACTGTAGTCCTCATGGTTGGCACACCTTGCACTTCCACCCCCCGGACAAGCATGAAGCGTGCAGATATACATAGATCCTGTTTGAAGGGATGGAAGATGATGGAAGCCTTTGTAGGCCAGTAGTCCCAACCTTTTGCAATTAGGTATAGATGACTTCCAACGAGACTTGTCCTACAACGGCTTTGCCGTTGCGCAGCTTCCCGACAAGGCCAATTTCTACCGTTCATGGCTTCCGGAGGGGCTCAGGATACAGCTCGGGGCCCCCTACTGCATGCCAAGTGATCTTCTCGTTCCCCAGCAGAGGGCGTGAGACTTTCGAGTAGGAGATGTTCCCAAAGCATGCTTGGAATGAGGAAAAATAGTTAGCTGCAGTACTGTATGATGCTGACATATGTTTACATCTCACGTGCATCTTCGAAGGAGTTTCTTTGAACTACAAATACGTCATATGCGATGGCCTCTATCAAGATGAGACCTGTCTATATGCCTTACTCCCAGATCTGTTGCGGCTGTTTCTCAAACGTCTTTTGCTCCACTCCTGATGCCTTCATCAAAAAGTTCTCAACATCAAGAGCTACTGCGTTCAGGAGACTTTTAATCGGATATTTAAAGTTGGGCAAGACTGCCATGTGGAGGTGATTGAAGACCTGCGGGCGGGGGCTGCACCGGCCCCAGTATGATGTTGCCTTCCGGTTCCTGTGGCTATCTTGGACGTTGATGTGAAGGCCTTGGATTTGGGGATTTCCCGAGATTTGGGGTACTGTTTTTGGGATCCCTATAATAAGGAGTACAGTATATCAGCGTCTATATTGGGGTCCTTTGCGGTCTAAGAACTGAGTTTCCGCAATGAGAAATAGGAGTTTTGCGGTAATGGAGGATACTGGCCTTGGGCTTAAGCATCTAGCAGTGGATGCCCAGATGGAGACCGCAGAGCACTTTCCGCCAACTTGCGCCTACCTTTGGATTGTGCAGCAAGCTGGTCCCTTCAAAAAACCAGTCGTCGCCCCAATGTGAGCAGGTCAACGATGATGCAAATTGTTGCGGAGGCACTCTTGCTACTATCAAACCCTCCATCCCCAAACTTTAAAATATTCAAAGCCTATAACCCTAAACCCTAAGGTCACTTAAGGTCAAGCCCAAAATCCCAAGGTCAAGCATTTGGCCGAGCAAGACGTTTCCCAGGCTAGGCCTGCTGATGACTGTTTAGCTGGGAGTTGCACGAAGCCCGGGAATGGAACTGGGGATATGGGGATTGTCCTAAATTACTGTCAATACGGGGTCCTATATTTAGGTTCCTATTATAATACGGGGGCCTATATAAATTCTCCCATTTTGAGAACAGTACTTTAGGGAAACTTCCATATAGTTCGCCTTAAGTAGATAGAATATGTGGTATATGGGATATGTGGGGATCTTGGGATATTATTACCGTATTACTTGGACAGTTCCACCTACAGACATGTCTATATACATATATGTATATGTATAAGTTCTATTCACTTTAGGGGGAGGGAAGGAAACCCTAAACCCTATACCCTAAACCGCCATCCCTAGCCGAGAACGATGCTTCTTGGCTATCAGCTTGCATCGAAACATCCAAGACCGAATTCAAAGCTCAAAGTAGAAAATATTTCAGGTGGACAATTCCCAAAGTAGGCCTTACAGCGGGATGCGGTTTAGGGTTTAGGGTTTAGGGTCCTCATCAAAGGATACAGCAGCAGCTAAAGAAGCAGCCTCGATCTTCAGCATAACTTGCAAACGCTGCCCAGCAACGCACCCACTGGGGTAATGTTAGGGTTATCTTGGATTTATATAGGGATAATTCCCCAACAATGGAGAATCAGAGGAAAAGAAAATGGAACATGAAATGGATACTACTGAATATAGGGTTATGTAGGTGTATAGATGTAGAATATCAGTTGGAAACAAAAATAGAAAATGAAATGGAGAATGGCATGATTATGGGTGGACCCGCTTCTCATCCCTTCGACCCCAATAACCGCGATATACTACAGTAGTTTCCATTTTCTTTTCCATCATCCCAATATAACCCCAATATTCCACCAATATACTATATTCTGAAGTTCCTTGACCCTCTTTTCATCCCAAAGGTCTTAGGCATGGTAGAAGCCAAAGGGTAGGTTCCCTAGATCAGGGAGCCCCCAACATAGACCCCAACATACGAAGCCCGAAAAGGGGACCCCGAACTTGCCCAACAAAACCTATGTACAGAAACAAAGCCAGTAAATCTGAGTCCTCGGCTCCGAGACCAGACCCATAGCTTGAAAGCCTTAAGCCCTAAATCCATATAGGTAGGGTTTAGGCTTCAGGGTTTAGGTTTTACTTGGAGGGTCAGGGGGACTTGGCAAGTAGGTTACTAACCCCTATAACCCAGATAGTACGTAACCCTAATTATCCCCAGTATTGACCCAGTTATTAAGTCCTCCTGACCCTCCAAGTGGGGTTCAGGGTTTAGGGAACCCTGCACCTTAAACCCTAAAACCGGCTTAGGGTTCAGGAGCCTCAGCTCACACAACACGCAGGACTTCCAGCGTGCGAAGCCCAGCGGCGGAGGGTTCCCACCTCGAATGGCTGCCTGGCAATTCCTTGGTTCAGGGATTATTGTCCCCCTTAAGCAGATGGAATATGGCTTTGGGTATATTATAATAAGATCCCCATATACCCCGTATTCTATCTACTTAAGGGGGGCTATAGGGAGATTCTATAGGGTTCAGGGCCATTCAAGAGTGCTTCCTAGACTTTATAAGGGTCCGTTTTAGTTTGTGAGCTCCTCGGACTGTACCCTATCTATCAAGTTTTGCTCTCATGCTTCTTCAACCAAGCCTTAGAGACTGGGAATAATAGCCCAAATTGAAGTCCGTACACGGTCGGAGTATTCGTATACCTAAAGGCCCATTTTGGGAGAGTGCTTCATTCCAATTCGGGGTTAGCATCCTGCTATAGAAACCTCGTCGATCAAGAGTGTTGAGAAGCTGAGGGTCTGGTCACCTAAAACATCGTCAGCAATCTACTGGGTAGCTTTTCAGGAGCTTACTTTTGAGCTATTCTGACAAGGAAGCCTTGTATTTTGCTATATACACCTATTCCGGTAATTAGGTTCGTTGACAGCAGCGCAGTCTATGGGGGTGCAGATGTAGAGTTGCAGGATGTCGGGGACGAGCTTGGCAAGTTCCAGCTCTAGACTCCACGGCTTACAACTGTGCGCGTTCATCAGGTCACCTTACTCTAAGCTATGTCATTACATACCAGTGAATTTTTGAGCCCCAATGTTAGGACCCTAAATGGCAAATCTGGAATTGGTGCACGCCCGGATCCTCGACGTCCTTCCTTTCAGTTTGGGTTGCAGAAACTTCATATCTCTCAGCGCAAAATCAGCCCTTATGTCTCCCCGTACCCAACCCTACACATGACCATATTTGGCCCAACCCTTTTGGTAACTGAATGCCCTAAACCCTAAACCTTAAAACAAAACCTTAAATACCCATATTATGGTAGAAGTTCCTTAACTGCAAAGGATAGAAGTATGGGCGCCAATATGGGCCCTGAGGCCTTTTTGAAGGGAATCTAGGGACCCTTAAGGGTACATATGAGGTATATAGTAGGTATATAAGGCTCCCAGAATGAAGGGCCCATACAAGGGGCCCATGGTTTTAACCTTAGAGTAAAGGCCCATACTCTCCAGCCCCAAGGAGTGGCACTGGGCCTCAGATGGCGGCGCACAAGATCTCTTCCAGCCCGCAGCAGAACCCCGGCTTTGGATTTAGGAATTGAACTTCTTGGGGTTATATTGGGGTTATATTGGGATTATATTGGGGTTATATAGGGGTTATATAAGGTTTATATAGGGATTCTATAGTTTGTCTTTTTTTCCGCGGCTTTTAATTGTTTGTTGTATTTGCATTGGTTTAGGGGTCAGGTTGGGGTGTTTTAAGGCTTTGGGTTTTTTTGGGAAAAAGGCTTGCACAAGGCAATGCAGGACTCTATTATGAAGTTACGCTGCCGATTGCTTGGGGACAGAGGCAGGGTTGGACGGAGTTGTCTTGCTTGTGTTTCGCGGCTGACGTAGCATTCAAGATTTCGGGACATGACTGGAACTCACTGGACATGCCAGCCGTGAAGTATTTCCAACATATACCTCAAACCATGAACACATCTTTGGGGACTTTGTTCCCAATGTCCGTCTGAGTTTGTGCCCACGCGCTTGCACGCACAAAACCCATGCTTCGATGTACGACCAGCGAATGGATGGGTGTTATAGTAGTTTAGCTTTGACAGGACTCGCATTCCTGCATAGGATCTTGTTCCAGCATGTTGTACAGAGAACCTTCACAAAAGCATCCCAAACTGCATCGTGTCAGGCAGCCCATGAGGCAACTTAAGTCTGAACTTGTGGATCCAAACCCTCTTAGCTCATGAAACTGACCCCAGGTTGGGAGGAAAGCTTTCACTGGTTCATTTCATATATGGGATTTGTAGGAGCTGCCAAAAACCTCGGGCCCGTGTTAAGGAGCAGCTGTTGAAGTACCTGCCCAATTTCCAGCTCATGGCTGCCAAGTTCATTGTGGCCACAGGACATCCGTTTAAAACGCATAAGAGTTTAAAATAACACACATGCAGCAATGATTGGGATTTGGAATTTAGATTTCAATGAAGTGGGATCTCCCTCGAAAGGTGTCCAAGGCTTCTGATGGGATTTTTCCTCTCCTGAGAACACTTGGCGACGGCACATACTTCGCAGTAGAAAGGGAAAAGCAACACTATGCAAAACTGCTTTGGATGCTAAGGAAAGCAAACCACCTTTTTGAATAGCTTGGCCATCTTTCTTCATGGTTGCAAGCACGAGGAGAGTGCAGTGCAGAAGATGCACGATTCCACCAGGACCGCCGAGGGTCTTGAGATGGGAGCATGTCCCCCTTTAATGGGTATATATAGTAATTAATATGGTTCCCCCAAAATAGTAGATCAAATTAAGTTCCGTAACAGCAACCCAGATGATTACTGAGGATGGCAAATCAAGCGGACACCAAGCTTGTATGATGTTTAAATTGATTGTAATGTAAGGGGTTCATAATAATCCACGTATCAGGCCTACTTGTGTGTTCCTATAGGGACATACAGACTTGAGGCCTAAACTGTCTTCTGGCCGGGTACTTCAACCGTTATACTGAAAGAAATAGAGACGGAGCATGCTCCAGGTCGTTAAAATCATGGCTACCTAAACCGTCTTCAGATATTGACGAAGAACTTGGATGTTGGATATGATCACATATTTGCAGATAGACTGTGTGTTCCTTGCGTCAACACATGTTCTGGCGATCCAGGCTTCTCGGAACAACAGCAGGATTGTTGCAATTTGACTTGTCATAAGATTTGTCGGACACAGGACGGTTCAAATGTACTTTTTAGACAATGTCTAGATAAAGGCGCTTTTCCGGTGACTTAGATAGTAATGTTGGAGAAAAAGAAAGACTATTGGGAATATTGGTGTATGCCCTAGGAATTTGTAGGCATCCCAGTTGGCTCCTTCAATAAATGGGTTACGGAGGATCTGAATTTTGTAGGGTATCCGTTTCAGCTTGGCGAACCAGCTAGAGGACTTCGAGCCCCCGACCGTGCCGCTGCTTGCCACGGCTACAGCAGCATCCCCAGAGCGGGGTTTAGGGTTTAGGATTTAGGGTTTAGGGTTTAGGGTTTAGGATTTGGGGTTTAGGGTTTAGGGGTTTCTGCATGGGTTTCCACCGTTGAGGGTTCAACGTTTCACGGTCCAGAAACTAGTGGGTATAATTTGGGTAGTCAAAAAGATGAACATAATCGCTTCGCACGTGTGGGCATTCCTGTTAGAAGACGCAGCTCTTTCTCACACTCCCTGACAAGAATGTAGAACATCATAGTCGAAAGCATTGCAAGATTCAACTCATCAAGTATGTCCAGGGGTGTACCAAAAGCACGGATCCACGCGTTTTCTCAAGGCTCTTTCCTCAAACCCTTATGCAGGTGCGCAGGCTGAGATTACCCTATGCTGAAACGACGAATCCGCATGAAGTCTCAATCCGCGCAAAACCCATCAAACGACCTGCGGGGTCAAGGATCTTTGAACCCTTGACCAGCTGGTGTCTCATGAGCCCTTATTTGGCCAGTATGGTGTATATAAAATGCTTCGAACCCTGGATGACACCCGAAAAACAACCCGTACTTGTTGAGCAACCCCTTGCTTTTCTAGGGCCGCTCAGCTGTTGAGGCCTTGGTTCCGCTGTGGCCCCTGGCGTTCCCTGAGAAGGCTCGAGTCTTCCCAAACACTCTAACTTGAAATTCATGTGGAGTTCTTTACATTATATATATATACTACTATGTGGGTTGTGAAGACTTCAAAGAGGGTCAAAGCATAGCTTGCACCACTAACAAGCCCGCACGTACTGTTTCAGTAACAGTTTTGGCTGTTGACAGAAGTGGTCAAAATTGGACAGTCGTATTGGTCTGTCCAACACAGGTGTCACCCATAGGATCCGACCCGATTGTCGAGACCAGCCTAGAGAAGATAGAGATGACGCCGAATCCCAAGGGGTCCTAAGTACCCATATGGGGAATACTTACCCAAACCATAAGGGAAATTAATTACTACTACAGAAACCATACTTTGCGCCATAATGGTACTTTGGACCCTTTGGGAATCTCAGGCGTAATGCCCTCTGTGTGCCAGAAGGTTCCAAATGAGGAATCTCAGACGGACAGCTCGCGCTCCAACCCTGCCAATGCCAAGCCCCAAGGAAACAAATGCAATCTGGAGCAGGGTTGTAGAAAGTGTGTCCTAGTCTTATTCAATATCAACTTCATGCAGCTGTCAATGCCTTCAAGCCCCAAGCACTCGAAGTCCTAAACCATAAACCCTAAACCCTAAACCCTTTAAACCCCAACCAACCTAAGCTCTGAACCTTTGGGGCGCCCATGCAGAAGCCCACTCGTCATCTGGATGGTCTGAGTTTAAATCTTCCCTTTGAGGCTCCTAAAGCTTAGACACCCCTTAAAGGGACTCATCTAGCCACCCCCAAAACTCCCAGAAATCCGGTGTCAGTGGCCGATTGATCATTTTGGCCATGCTTTTGGCATTGGGGGCTACCAAAGAAAGCATGCTTTCCACCCAATCTGCCCTGTGCAGGAGGGAAACCTGGAGTTCTTCACTTGGGTCTCCCGGCTCTGTGTGGAATACTGCTGCAGCTTTGTAGAGAGAATGAAAGAACGGCTTGTTGGGCTTACTGTACGGAGAATTCTTAGGGCGTGCATCGCCATGATTCTTCAGGCTCCAAACCTCCAGTCCTTACAAACTAAAACGAGCCAAATAGGTGTAGAAGGGGTAGGCTATCTAAAGAAGGCCTGCGTGCATTGAGAAAAAAGCAAAATCCCCCTCGCCCGCGCAAACTATGCACGCCGGGACGCGAGGTCTGGATTAAAGATGACGCGAATCCGTGGTGCGCAAGCTGTATGCATCATAGACTTACTGGTTGTCAGTAGTGGATCACAGATGGCATCCCTATAGCAGCACTCATGGTTGCTTCTAACCCCCACCGAAGTAGCAGGCTTGGCGTTATTTGCCAATCCTTCTCTCCCTACTAGCCATCAGCCAACTGAGCTACTTATTCCGAGCAGCGCAGTGACACGAGGTTTCTCAAGAAAATCCGCCTTTGGAAAGCTTAGGTATACATGGGGACTGCCAAGGGATCTTGGTATGCCTGATTGTGAAGGATTCTTTAGGGTACCCACTAGCAATTCCTGAATGTACTGACTGAGGACGACATGGTCCAAGCAAAGCAGTCCACACCTGAGGACATGGCGGATGGCTCAGGAAAGGGGGGATACTGGGGGGTTGGCCCTTCTTCGGCCCTATTAGAACACGGGCTTTCTTTGGGTGGAAATTCGTAATGCTGAGGGCACGCATTTATCTGGAGGTGCCCATATGCATTGCAAAATGTACTCGCTTTAGCTGAGTAACCATTCCATACATTCCCACAAGCAAACATGAAACCCCACGTAGCCGCCTTCAAAGGACAGTTGCCCACAACCGGCCACTTTTCAGGTTGCATCTAGGGAGTCATGGCTGGTGTGTCGTTGTTGGAAATGTTGGTGCTTTTGTGTTTTTGGATTACCGGCCTAGCAAAGGTTTGTACAGCTGTATGAAAACCCAGTGATTATCAGAGCTCTCAGCATCCGGAGTCGCCTGGGCCCTTATTGATTGCTGCAGCCTGTCATCTTGAGCAATGAGCCAGCTTCTGCACGTCCTCTGAAGGTTATTTGGGGTGCCCTCAAGGCTTCTATCTCAGCAGCTGTATTGACTATATGGAGAAGATTTTTAAGAGGCTTGCAAACGACTCACCTTGCCCTGCCTGCTTGAGACTTTCTAGAACACGCCACGTTGTTCTGTAGTATCCCTATGGATCCAGATAGCGCCCAAAGTAGGTAATGTTTACTTTCGGGCCCAATGTAGGTATTATTTGTATGCTTGGATCCCTAGGGTATCTCTTTGATATTGGGGTTATATTGGGATAATGGAAAAGAACATGGAAACTACTATAGTATATTGGGGTTATATTAGGATAATGGAAAAGAAAATGGAAACTACTATAGTATATTGGGGTGATATTTCGTTGGTCAAAGTCAGATCGGCAGCCACGTAGCCCTGCAACCACCATGAAAGATCGCTGCCCACCGTACCTAGACCTTCACTCCCAGAACCCTGCAGACCCGAGTCCAAGGACCAGGGTCTAGATGGCCTAACCCCAAGCTCTGAACAAAGCCACCCAAGCTCAGTTGAGTAATATTCTATTTGAGGATACTATAGGCCCCGATATAGAGCAGGATTATGTCCTCTTTTGGGGGTGTATTTTTTTCATATTCAGAACATAATCTTACTTGGGTTCAACTATCCACCAAAAAACCCTACTCAGTTGAAGTCTCGGAGAGTACATCGTTATGCCCCCGGGGAAGTTGCTGTCTTCGACGGCAAGCTATATCACCGGACACAGCCTTTCTCGGCGTCCTGGCTTCATTGATCTTCATTGGTATCGATATTGGGGTTTCTCAAAATTAGGGGTACTTTTTTTGGGGGTCCTTATAACTAGGGTTTTTATAAATATATTGGGGTCTATATGGGGTCCCCGTGTTTTGGGGAGTTACCATATTTAGGGGTCAGGGTCTACGGTGTAGGGCTTGGAGAGAGTCAAATAGGGCAACTGGCCTTGGGCTTATCAGGCTCAGTCATCGAGAGAATCAGTGTTAGAGATTTTGGCATGCTTTGGTGTAGGGTTTCGGGTTTAGGGGTTTTGGCACGCTTTTGTATGTATGGCTTCAAAGGGGGTTCAAGGTTGTTTCAATCAAGCGTAAAGACTGGAACGCGGGGCCATGGTTGAAATGTAGATCTTGGGGCCTGGCCCTTCGAGCTCTGCTTCGGACACTGCTATTGGCAGCAGAACTAGCCTGCTACCGACAGAACGAGTTTGCAGTTTACATTGCTTCGGCCAAGCTAACTTGAACACCAAGTGGCCCATCCCATTGAGTCTTTACAAGGGCTCTTTTTCAGGTTCCATACTGGTTTAGGAGACGGTACTACAACTTTTAAGCTATGTCCACAGATTCGAGGTGCAACGGTGTAAATGAAGGTTTCTCCGCCCATCTGGAGCATTCGTTCTCGAATCCCCACACCGTAAGCTCTGGACTACTCAGGCCAGGCTCCTTTTTGGGGCTATTGAACCTGCGCTGTGTTGGTAAATCTTAGGCCCGCAGCTCTCGCTACCCTCTCTAATTAACTTCCCAGTTCATAGACCTGAGACCCTTGTACCTCAAAGGGGGTTTCCATGAATTGTGGGCCCCCTTACATGCCCCTGAATTCTACTCGGTATTGGTTCGAGACCAATAATACAGGGACCTTCCATTGTTGGAGACAGCTGCAGTGGCAGCTCCAGGAATACGCGTTCGCCAGCTCCTCTCTGCATGGTGAGTCAGACGTGCTTTCGAAGATGCGCATATTAGCTGCTTGGCTCAGCACTTACCTGTAAAATTTTCAGTACAGTATAGCCCTAAGGTAACCCTAAGATAATCCTTGAGGTGGAGCCTGTATGAGATACCTATATGTCCCCATACGGTATCGTTGTTTCGGAAAAAAACTCCCATATCATGAGGGCCTGGGCCGAGTTCGCGCGCTTCTTTCTTTGAAGCAGCTTAACGAGGGTTTTGTGAGAGTGTTTGTTTTGAAAGCAGTGAGATATGGTACACCCCAAGCAAGACTGAGTCTCAAGGAAGCCCAAGCTTTATCTTACTGGTTCTGAGTAGGGAACAAGGGAATACAATCCCTCTGTAACCCCCACAAAACTGTTCCCATCCTAATCATTCGGTGCGTACTATAGTGGGGACCCAATAAGCAATCATGGCGCCCATAACCTACCATTTGCAAGCTTCAGGCATACTGCGTGGCACGGGCGCAGAAGTTTGCTTCAGTAACTTACTAGTTCTTAGTAGGGCAGATACCCACAAAGGGACCATAGTTTTGATAACCTTCCAATTTTTGTCTTGCAAGTACTGAGCGGTGCGCTGCACGTTAGTGTAGCAGCACTAGCATCTCAGCTGCAGTAACCTGATAGTCAGACAGGTGTGTGCATTGAGCAGTGGCTATGAAGATTCCGCGCTTCTCCTTCCCCACTCGCCCCTCGTGCCCAGATACTGTCCCACTATAGTCCCCCTTAAGTAGATAGAATATGGTTTTGGGTACATTATAATAAGAGCCCCCACAAAACCCCCATATTCTATCTACTTAAGTGCTCTACTCTAGCCTAAACACTTGACCCCAAACGGTAGTTTCCATGTCCTTTCCCATTTTCCTTATATATCCCCTATAAAACCCCACATTCTACCTACTTAAGGGGGACTATAGCCCTAAAGGTCGTCTTTGGGGGCCCTTATTCCCGCTCTGCTTGAGAAACACCACGCTCAGCTAGGTGAGGGTTTCCCAACCTTTTTGGGGTCCCTATAATAAGGATAATCGTATTTGGGGGTCTATATTGGGGTCCCCCTACAACCCTAAACCCTAAACCCTTTTTAGGAAACTACCAGGTGTCCTACTACTTCGCGCAGCTACCTCCTGGCAACTCCTGGGAAGGCTTGCTGGCTTTCCGTCAGAGCTCTCAAAATAGCTAGGCATCCTCTCCGACATGTTGGCCTTCAAAAACCATTTGAAACCGTTAAAACGTCCTCCTATACTCCCACGGAATCCAAGTCTACAAACAATGATTACCTTTGTGCATTAAGTCTACAGGAAGTACCTACTTTAGGCTTTGTGGATTTGTAGAGTTCAGAGCCCCCCCAAACGCATGCGCCTACTGATTGGCCAGGCGATGTGCGTGGTGTGCTCACCAGCCAGGGCGCACCAAGATTGGGCTGAGCGCGTCCAATGGATGTAGGTAGGGCAGGTAGGGAAGCCCTGACTGACCAGGCTGATCAAGTGATTGCAATCTCTATGGTCTTTCATAGGTGCTGTTCCTTCAACGTCCAGAAGTACATGGACAGTAACAGTAACGGATCGAGATCTATGATTGGCTCTGGCCCCGTAAACGGGGGTGAGCTTTTGCATCCCGCATGGCACCAGTGTTGCTGGAACATTTTGACTGCATGAGCTTGATGTGGTCTTGAACCTTTCGCATGCTTGAACCCTGTAAAATATTCCGTGATGAAGCATGACAATCCCCTGTATACATAGATAAGTGCGAGCTTCGGAGATCCGCCCAACCATGGCGACTTCTGGGCGAAGTAGCAATAGTTCATCACATAGCTTGGCTGGCCAGGCTTGGAGATATGAGGGTGCAACGCCACAATTAGGATTCCTGCACGTAACGTTACCTTCATGGTTCCAGAGCCTTTGTGTATATGATAGCGGGTAATCGCCAAGCCCTGTGTAGCTGAATTCTGAAAAGTGTGGCTGCCTCTTGGACAACTCCTGGGGGCAGAGGCTTCTCATGCCCATGGTTGCATGCAAATTGCTGAGTCAAGATTCCAGTAGAAACGCCGGCATCACAAGCCCTGATTGAAGAAATTCCGTCATCTAGATCATGCCCTTAACTTTAAACATTTGAAGGTGCTCCTCTAGAACCTATTGTTTCTCCGTTGGATTGTACATGTCCAAAATGGGGATGCATCCACTTTCCTCAGATTCTAGAATTGCTCCAGCTGTCCGGTCGTGGTCTCCCTCTTAGCTTCTGTTACTGGCTCTGCGGGCAGAGGAAAAATGAGTGATGCCAAGTACTCTTGGTCTGGTCTTGAGATTCCTAGGTGAGGCAAGCGACCCGTGCCCAATTCTGAGTGTAGTTAGGTCTGATTCTGTGATGGCTACCAAAACTTCTGAAAGACATAGGCACTCAGACCCACCCTGTGACCCCAACTACCCACAATTTAGTAGCAATGACCCCCCCCCCCAATAGTAGGTATAAGTAAACCCTAAACCCTTAACCCTAAACCCGGTATAAGCCCCTAAACCCGAGGGTTAAGAGGACTCAGGAACCTTAGGACAGCCTGGGCTTGACTGACGCTAGGTGGGTGGTTGTCAAAATTATGGTCCTTTTTTGAGTACCCTAAATATTAGGGGCCGTATTATAATAGGGATCCAAAAAGGGACCATAATTTTGACTGCTGGGTGCCTTTTTGAGGGTGATCTCAAGGTTCTGATTGCTATTGTCATTGTTTAATATACTCTTTCTAGTGTGACTGTTATTGCAACTATGAAGATTTTTCTGGGAATATTGACAATACTAGCATTAGTACTAGCAATATCGATATTGCTATGATGTTTAAGTGCCTCATGGTTTGGGTGACTTTGGGGACACTATTTCAGAGACATGCCTCCTTCTCTCCCCCTCGCACCCCTGCTCGGTCTTCCAGGGCCAGTGACATCGACCAACTCCTCGCTGACTCCACGGCGAAGACCCCGGGTCTCAGGGTTGGGGGTTCAGAAGTTCAGTCCTGTTACTACTCTGCTTACTATTTCTCTTAATTATTAATTGTATTATTACTGGGTTGAGGGCATTTCTTTGAGAATCCAGTTGTCGACATGCACGGTTGTTAAAACTATTGGTCGCTGTTTAAAGTTTGCTTCGGATTTCATAGCGCAGCCAACAACTTTCAGAAGGTTCTGCCTCGAAGAAGTTTAGAACGTTGCATAGCGTTGCTCATGCTGCAGCTGCTTCTTTAGCGCGGAATAAGATAATAACAATAACAATAACAATTGTAATAACAGTATATTGATAGTAGTAATTCTATCAGTAATAGCAATAGCAATAGTAATAATAGTAATAGGCAATGAGGCTCCTTTCAGGAGTACAGCGTGCCGCGCGCTTTCCATCTCAGAGTCTAAGATCCAGTCATTTTCCGTTATCCCAATATTACCCCTACAATATGGTAGTTTCCATTTTCTTTTCCATTATCCCTATATTAACCCCAATATATTACAGCAGTATATGCGCTTTGCGTTGTGGGCTCAGCACTTCAGCTTTAGCGCGCCGACAGCTCGGATGAGAGCTAGGTAAAGGCCTGAGAAGCTTTCCTTCCCGTCTGCAAAAGGGTCTACCAGTATGCTCCCGTTAAGACCTTTCTTGCCTTACATGGTAGTTTCCCAAAATAGGGGGGGACCCCAATCTAGACCCCAAAATACTATAGTCCTTCTTATTGGGCCCCCCAAAAAGGTAACCCTAGGTTAAGAAAACTCCCCAAGTATTATAGTCCCTACTATTGGGCCCCCCAACAAGGCAACCCTAAGTTAAGGAAATCCCTAAACCCTGAACCCTAAACCCTACACCCTACACCCTACATAATCCTTCCGGCATCTTCAGGCTAGGGTTTAGGGTTTAGGGTTTAGGGTGTCACTGCAACAAGCATATATCTGAGTTATCCAGAGCACTTCTTACACGAGCCATCGTCTAAACTCCATAAAGGGGGTTATATAGGGATTTTATAGGGGAGTAGTATAGGGGTTAGTAAGGGGGATACTGGGAGTTTAGACTATAGTACTCATAGGCTCATAGGGACCTCTAGAGTTTCTTCAAGTTCCCACATGACTATTTGTCAACACAGGTCCACCATTTGCTATAATGCGACCCCAACGAAAATTTCAACACCTTGAACTGCATTTGAGAAGAGGCATTCATGCACTTCAGGCCAGCTGAGCGCACCTCTGAGCAGGCGTTCCGATGTTTGACCGCCTCAATGCTCTGGCAAGTTTGGGCTCTAGGCCTAGGGGGGCTGTGTTTTTGCTGGGCAGCAGAACTTTCGGTCAGCAGCATGAAAGTAACTCTGTGCCAGAAAAATGCTACACCCAGGATTCTGTCGCCGCCGCTCCTTCAGATGGGTGTAGACTTACAATAACGGTGTTGGTCCCAGCTAGATGGGTTGTGGTTGTTGGGCAATGGGTTTGAGGTCCCATGCTGAATGATTACATGCTGCTTGGAGGGTCAGGGGAGCTTAGTAAGTAGGTTGAAAATCCCCATAACCCATACACTCCCCCCAATTATCCCCGTTATTCACCTACTTATATGGTAGACCTTAAAAAGGTACCCCTAATCTTAGGAAACCCCCATATACTAAGTTCCCCTGACCCTCCACTGGGGTACAAAGTCAACTTCGCCTCGTCGCTGAGGAGGATTGACGAATATTTCATGCAAGGGTTTTCCCTGTTCGCGAAATACTGGGTTGCTGTTAAGGAACTTAAATTAAGTTATTACATTATCCACCATAATGGAGAATCAGATGGAAAACAAAATGGAAAATGAAATGGAAACTGGGGGAATATAGGGATTTAAGGAGCTTAAATTAAGTTACCATATTGGGGAAACCTTATTATTTACTATATAAAACCCATTATGGTAACTTATATTATGTTCCTTAACGGCAGCCCAGAATATCACCCACCAAGGCCTAAGGGTTGTGAATTTGCTGCAGAGATGCTTGCTGCTTTTTTTTTTTTTTT